AAACAGCACAACTGCTGTCATCATTCCAAATACTGTAGCCACATTTTTGAGACACGTCTAGTGTTTAGAAGAAGAAGAAGAAAATGTGTTCCTTGCTCTTTTGGGTGAGTCACAGGCCTTTAATGCAGCTTTTAAAAACTGTTATTTGTTTCCATCACACACAAAAGCACACCCTAATATGCACTGGATTTTCAGATTGGCAGACAACTGATTTCTTTCATTTTCAACACAAGAGATGAATTATGTGTCTCTCTAATTGCACTAATATCAGTGATGATTTTCTGCAGGAATGTGCAAGCTTGTATATTCCAAAGGGCCAAATTTATGGCTGGAGCAATCAAGCACAACTCCATTAACTTCAACATCTTCAACCTCACATCTACTTACACTAATGGTGAGGGTGGTACTTTGTTGTGATAGTTCTGGTGTTCAGCCCACAGAGAAATAAACTTGTATGCTAATCTCTGACAAATTATAATGTCAGTGTACTGCAGGTCACATTTTAGGCCTAAACTACCCTATTTAAGTGTCCCTTTTCAAAACTATTTTGAAGTAGGAAGGTTTTTCTTTCCTTTTCAGCAAATGATTACATTAGCTGTTTCAAAAACACCATCCTTAACAGAGTCTATTATGTGTGTTGCAAAGCTGTGTCTGTCTAAAGCTGTGAAGATGTTTTGCTCTATCAAAAGAGTCATGAAGTGGGTCTTTCTGAAGGTTTTGAAATTGACTGTGGCTTATAGAGTTTGAAATCTTTTCTGCAGTTTTGATGTCCTGTGGCTAATATTTACATAATCTTTTCTGTCTATTCTGCTGTTGGATCTAGCATTATAGTTCCTTTAGTTTTAAAATTTTGTCTAATTATTAAAATAGTTTTTTCTCTCATCTGAGATCTTTCTACATCAAGATGTTTAGTGATCTTAAATATTGCATGCCTTTTAAAAAAATTTAAATAATTTTTTAGTATAAATTAACTAAAGTTTCAAAACAAAAAGTGAAAAACTGAAACTGAATGGATGCTGTCTCACAAACAGTTTTGGTTTTGGTGAATTGACACTTTCAGATGCAAAAAAGTTGTGTTGGAAAATTCCCAACCAGCTCTATTCAGGAGGCAACTGATTACCGGTAAATGAATATCTGTGTTTCTTCTACTAGCAATAGGATACATTAAAATTTATAATAAAGGAAGCTGTAGTGAAAAGTAAAGAGAACTGTAGGAAGGAAGTTTTAAATTTCACATTTGCTGTTTTTTTTTAAATTAACATGAAAGCTTTATTCTCGGTTGATCATTTCAGTTAATAAAAATGACATACAAACTTATAAAAATCCTTCTCTGAGGCAGAAAGGTGTGGCAAAATTAAAAAGTGACAGAACATCTTAAGAAAATTCAAGCACATTCATAGTTTTATGAATGAAAGCTTTATAGGTGGTTAGAAATGAATCACAAGAAGAAAAATGAAAAACAATGCTGACAGATGAGATAGGATCAAAAGCTTTTAGTTTGCAGTGGGAATCCTTTGTACCTTTATCACAGGAAATTTCTGTTTTGAATATTTTTGATTGTGTGTTTGAAGTTCAAAAGAAGTTTTGAGGACATTAATAGGGACAGTTATTGACTTTACTGTAGATCTGTATTGATTTATTGTTGATTATATGTGAACACCTATTTAAGGAAATTAATATGATAATCAGAAGATAGTTGAAAGATGTCCTTTATGTTTTATACTGCAGACAGTACATGCATTTTGCTAACTTTTTTCTTTTATTATTGGACTATCCCATGTAATTCAAGTTATTTAAACTGTAACTTCTGAATTTTTAAAGAGATGATGAATCAATTGTTCAGATATTTATGACAAGCTTCTAGTCTTTTATCTAATCACAGCTGTAGTGTACTGTAGTTGCACTTATTGCCAATTAAAAAGAAACATTTTTTTCTGATTTATCATAAAACTCAGCTCAATTATGGATCTCACAAGGTTGAGTGTGCTGGGGGTGGGAGAAGTTCAGCATTATGCTGAAGTAGCTGGAGGTATCCTGGTATTGAAAGGTTCTTCTGGATCTATCAATTAGAGATGCTGATGGTACAAAAGATGCAAAGTGCGTTAACACAACATTTTATGGAAGCTGAGTGTGAATGTGGTAGAAAAGGAGAAGTGTTCTAAGAATAACCCAATGGTTTGCCAGAGACACCATTATGTTAGAGCAGTTTAGTGATGTTAAAATAAAGAATATTTGTTATAAGAGTTCGATATGATAAGGTTGCCCTTTTTCTTAGATGTACAAAAAAAACCCCACTCAGATTTCAGCTGGGTAAAAAACCAAATTTATGGTCTAATTGAGGGGTCGGCAACGTTTGGCACGCGGCTCGCCAGGGTGCTTACCCTGGCAAGCCGCGTGCCAAACATTGCCGACCCCTGGTCTAATCGATACTCTGCTATCTGATAACCTTTAGGGACCAGGAGGCAAGAACAATCAATCATCCAAGCTATAGAAGTCCCAGTCCACTCCTGTCCTGCCAATTCTTCTTTTGCATTGTGGAAGTGTTGAGAAAGAGTTGCCTCGCTCCTCCTGGCCTACTAAACCTTCCTCTACTTTCCGCCCTCCTCTTGCAAGGAAGAAAAACCAAGGGAAGATAGTCTATCATACTTGTCTCAGGGCCCTGACACTGGCATCCCAATGAGTAATCCCTCTAAGCCATTAGGAGTGGATTCCCTTGAAGGCCCAGGATTGCCACCAGATATATAGGTCTAGCCACTGGCCCATTGCCACACTGACTTCGCTATTGGAATGTGTAGGATCGAAAACTGAATTGGTGGACTTACCATACAGGGGCCTAAAGCTCTTTAGGGAGGAGCAAGACAAAGTGGTTAGGAAATTTCTGAATCCCAGAAAGATCCTTTTTCCTCAGTCCATGTGACTTGCCCTCTTTGCTGGTGACCTCCTCCTCCACCCTATCCTGCAATTCCTACTGGAGGGGTTTCTGCCAATCATCCTCCTTTCACAGGCAGTCTCTTCATTTTCAGATGCTCTGTGGTTCCTTCTATTCTTCCCAAAAGAGATTTCGCTGCAGGCTTCTTTTTCTGTTCTATCTGATTCCTGCCTAACCCTGCCTCCAAGTAACCCTATTGGGTCCTCACTGACCCAACTTCCCCCATTCATTCCATTGGGATGAAAACGATAAATCACAAGAAGAAAAATGAAAACCAATGCTGAGAGGTAATAGGGGTTCAGAAACCTTTGATTGTGAGGGGGAAGGCTTTAATGTGCCCCTACTAATTGGACTTGTTCTCTATGGTGGAATCAGAGTTCAGCTGCTCAGAGCTCCTAGTTGCATTCTAGGTAAGTTCTTCTCTGAAGATTACTGGTTGGTATAATAACTAAGCATAATGGTTACTGAGTAGGACAGGAGAGAGGGGATGTACAGTAAGCAATGTATGACTTGTAAATTTGAATTTCTCAAGGCTACCACTTGGATCAATACACAGATTTTCTTTACCAATAAAATTTTTTGTTCTCATACTCGCTAATAGGCTGAGGGTTATGGTGGTGGGGGTGGACTGGAGCTTATCTTGGGTGGCTGACAGTTTTTGCCTCCTACTTCCTGATAATTGGAGCCATAACATTGAGTCTAGTGGTAGAATAGAGGAAGAGAGGACTATGACAAACAGAATTACCAATAAGTAACCTTTCTGTGTGTATTTAACTTGGCTATGAGTGTTGTGCTGAATATATGTTGCCTTTTAATGTACAGAGATGTCCCAAACCAAACCATAGATCCAACACACATATGCTACTTAAAATTTCAGATGCTATTCTGGATCCAAACTTTTCTTTTGGACCTTATCTGTGTACTGGGTGAGATCAGAATCATAGATCTGAACACCCCAAACTGTAGAGAAGTTCAGATCTGGATGCGCTCTAGTCCATTTCTATTTCAATATAAGTTATCACTCTGTTTTAGTTATTAGCATGCTGTATTCTCTTTAATTAATTTTATTTAATTCTGGAAGTTGCTCTTTGGAGTTATGTATTATGCAGTATACTCTATGGTGCAGAGTTTCAAAAGGACTCTTCTCTCATTTAGACATCAAAATACCGGGCCAGATTTTCAAAAGAGCTCAGCACATTTGAGTGCTTTTGAAAATCTGGTCATAAGTGTCTGATGTGGAGATGCTGAATGTTGATTAACTTTTACAAATCTGGTCTGTATTTAGTTGCCTAAATGGAAGCTGAGCTCTTTTGAAAATCTGGCCCCAACTTTGGGTGCTGAGCACTTTAAAATCCAGCCCTGCGCTCCTTCAAAAATCAGGCCAAAATAAAAAGGGAATGAATTGTAAAAGTCAGTGGTGCAAATGAAAATGCATTTTAGAAATTTATTTTTTGTATTTCTTATTTGTGGAGTTCTCTGTTTTTTCCAGTCCATAATCTTCATTCGTGACCGAAATTCTCGTGGTCAGGAGGTGTCTGCCTACATTGACTATGCACACAGGCTGAAGACTGATGAATTTGAAATATATTTTAATGGAAAGAAAAAGCTTTTTCCAAGACGCACTGATCTGAGGTATTTTTCTGCATTTTCTTTTCACTTATTTGAATTTCTAAAATGTACATGTAGTTGAATATTGTTAAATAAGAAAATAATTTTTATAAGTGATTTTAATTGAAAAATAAACATCATGGGTCAAATCTGTCCTCAGTTATACATAAATAGATCTAGGGAGTGACCTTATTATTTGGAATGGAGTTACTCTGATTTTATTCTTGTTTCTGACAAGAGCAGAATTTTGCATGAATAATGCAAACTGAACATTGAAAAAAAACCAAGAGCTGATGGAATTTTCTGTGCATAACTACTCACTTAGGGTGGTATTTTCAAAAGCGCTCAGTATTAATCTAACTTTAGTCCCATGGACAAGCCAAGGGTATTGTGGAGCAGCTACACTTTCTTTCGGGTATATGACTGGCCCTTTCAGCTTTTACTTCCTGAGGTGTCTGTAAATAGTGTTTGTATATAAAGCTACATGTGCAAACTCATAGGAAGTTGCTATGCTAGAAAACTTGGTACCTAGCATAGTAAGTAAATGCCACATGGTCCCTGCCCTCACCAACTCTCATTGGCCTGAGTGGCTGTTCTCAGCAGCATGGTTCACATTGAAAACTTGTCTCATATGTAAGTCTTTTGGTGGCCAATATGAAACTGGTCACTAGTATCAAAGATTGTTAACAACTTTTTTGTTTAAAAACCTATTTTCTTCAAAACTACTGTATGCCCAAATACTAATAAATACACAACTATGTATGAGTCGGGGAGTTTGAAAATGTTTCCATTTGTGAACGAGAGTGGGTCAAATAAATGGTGGACATGGTATCATTGTGTGTGTTTGTATAATGCCTTACGCAAGGGACCTTTGGGGCATGTGATGATGTCTACCGCAATGGAGCCATGATCTTCGTTGCCCCAACAATAATAATATATAAATATTAGTATTGGCAGTTTCGGGCAGAAATAGTAGAAATTTCACAATGGGCCAAGTTTTGTGAAGTTATCATGATTCATAGACTTTAAGGTCAGAAGGGACCATGATGATCATCTAGTCTAGGGTGACCAGACAGCAAGTGTGAAAAATTGGGACGGGGGTGGGGGTAATAGGAGCCTATATAAGAAAAAGACCCCCAAATTGGGACAGTCCCTATAAAATCGGGACATCTGGTCACCCTAATCTAGTCTGACCTCCTGCACAATGCAGGTCACAGAATCTCACCCACCCACTCCTGTAACAAACCCCTAACCTATGTCTGAGTTATTGAAGTCCTCAAATCGTGGTTTAAAGACCTCAAGGTGCAGAGAATCCTCCAGCAAGTGACCCGTGCCCCACGCTGCGGAGGAAGGCGAAAAACCTCCAGGCCCTCTGCCAATCTGCCCTGGAGGAAAATTCCTTCTCAACCCCAAATATGGCGATCAGTTAAACCTTGAGCATGTGGGCAAGACTCACCAGCCAGCACCCAGGAAAGAATTCTCTGTAATAACTCAGATCCCACCCCATCTAACATCCCATCACAGACCACTGGGCCTATTTACCTGCTAATAATCAAAAATCAATTAATTGCCAAAATTAGGCTATCCCATCATACCATCCCCTCCATAAACTTATCAAGCTTAGTCTTGAAGCCAGATATGTCTTTTGCCTCCATTACTCCCTTTGGAAGGCTGTTCCAGAACTTCACTCCTGTAATGGTTAGAAACCTTGGTCTAATTTCAAGTGTAAACTTCCTAATGTCCAGTTTATATCCATTTGTTCTTGCGTCCACATTGGTACTAAGCTTAAATAATTCCTCTCCTTCCCTGATATTTATCCCTCTGATATATTTATAAAGAGCAGTCATATCTCCCCTCAGCCCTCTTTTGGTTAGGCTAAACAAGCCAAGCTCTTTGAGTCCTCTTTCATAGGACAGGTTTTCCATTCCTCGGATCATCCTAGTAGCCCTTCTCTGTACCTGTTCCAGTTTGAATTCATCCTTCTTAAACATGGGAGACCAGAACTGCACACAATATTCCAGATGAGGTCTCACCAGTGCCTTGTATAACGGTACTAACACCTCCTTATCTTTACTGGAAGTACCTCGCCTGATGCCTCCCAAGACCGCATTAGCTTTTTTAACAGCCATATCACATTGGCGGCTCATAGTCATCCTGTGATCAACCAATACTCCGAGGTCCTTCTCCTCCTCTGTTACTTCCAACTGATGTATCCCCAATTTATAACCAAAATTCTTGTTATTAATCCCTAAATGCATGACCTTGCACTTTTCACTATTAAATTTCATCCTATTACTATTACTCCAGTTTACAAGGTCATCCAGATCTTCCTGTATGATATCCCAGTCCTTCTCTGTATTAGCAATACCTCCCAGCTTTGTGTCATCTGCAAACTTTATTAGCACATTCCCACTTTTTGTGCCAAGGTCAGTAATAAAAAGATTAAATAAGATTGGTCCCAAAACCGATCCCTGAGGAACTCCACTAGTAACCTCCTTCCAGCCTGACAGTTCACCTTTCAGTATGACCCATTGTAGTCTCCCCTTTAACCAGTTCCTTATCCACCTTTCAATTTTCATATTGATCCCCATCTTTTCCAGTTTAGCTAATAATTCCCCATGTGGAACCGTATCAAATGCCTTACTGAAATCGAGGTAAATTAGATCCACTGCGTTTCCTTTGTCTAAAAAAATCTGTTACCTTCTCAAAGAAGGAGATCAGGTTGGTTTGGCACAATCTGTCTTTTGTAAAACCATGTTGTATTCTGTCCCAATTACCATTGACCTCAATGTTCTTAACTACTTTCTCCTTCAAAATTTTTTCCAAGACCTTGCATAGTACAGATGTCAAACTAACAGGCCTATAGTTACTCTGATCACTTTTTTTTCCTTTCTTAAAAATAGGAACTATATTAGCAATCCTCCAGTCGTACACAGGGCCGGCTCTAGGCACCAGCCCTCCAAGCATGTGCTTGGGGCGGCACTTTCTAAGAGGTTTCAGAGTAACAGCCGTGTTAGTCTGTATCCGCAAAAAGAAGAATAGGAGTACTTGTGGCACCTTAGAGACTAACAAATTTATTAGAGCATAAGCTTTCGTGGACTACAGCCCACTTAAGTGTAGGCTGTAGTCCACGAAAGCTTATGCTCTAATAAATTTGTTAGTCTCTAAGGTGCCACAAGTACTCCTATTCTTCTTTTTACTTTCTAAGAGGCGGCACTCCAGCCCCTCTTTTTTATTTTTATTTTTTATTTTTATGCTTGGGGCGGCATTGCTGGGAGCCAGCCCTGGCCCAGCCACTTGCCCTGTCAGCGCGAGCTGGGATCCGTGCCCCCTGCCCACCCCGGCGGCGCCTTGTACAGCCCACTCGGGAAATGCCGCGCTGCCCTGGGGAGACTCGGTGTGGCAGCGGCAGCAGGACCCCATCTCCCTCCCTGCATCCCGGGCCCCGCTTCCCTTCCCACCCCCCAGCTCCTCACACATTCCGGGAGCCCCTCTCGCGGCCGCTGCAGCTTGTGTGAGGAGCGCGGAGGGAGAGAAGCGGAGTCACCTGGAGCCAAGCCCGGGCGGCGGCGGCAGCAAGAGGGGCTCCCAGAGTCAGGGCCACCTGGGGGCCCCCATGAGTATGTCCAAGGCTCCTCCCGCCTCCGTCTTCCCCCATCCCCCAGCGTCTCAGCCAGTAAGGGGGCGGGGCTGCAAGCTGCGGCCGAGCGGCGGGAACTCA